CACTGGAAAGTCATTCCATAAATCCTGACTTTCTGTAAGCTGTCAGCAACCTGCTAAGCTGCAGGGCAGCACCCTGGGACAAAAAGAGGAGGAACATCCAGAGTGGCTCCTTCCCTTCTAGAAAGTGAGGCCATCAAAGAGGAGGCAACTGAAGAGGTTTTCTGAACTTCCTTGTTTAAAAATATCTTTTGCCAAGATAATAACAGTAATTGACCTGGCTACTTGCTTTTGCAAAACTGCCATGGATGCTTACACTCAAAGCTTGCATTAAATTAGGAAATGGAGATGGAATAGCCTGGTACTTAAAATGTTCAGGCAACCAAGGAGATGCAAGATCCTTACATGGATTTTTACATTTAAGCTTATCTAAAGGAAGTGGAATATACTGAAAACAGAAAGAACTCTAACATCACAATAATACTAATAAGGTTAATTTAGAAGCCAGAGTTATCGTTCGTTTAATGAACACTGATTAGCTCTATTCCTAGGAGGAAGGGAAAGAGAGGCGCTTTTAATTTAGAAACAGAACTCGCATGTCTGAATTTCAGGTATGGTTGTGTTGTATTCAGATTTCCCAACACACCGGGGATTCGGAAGGCTCCTAATTTCTAACAAGGCATTTTTTACTGAATTAGCACTTTCTAAGCCGTATAAGGAAAACCTCCACAGCATGTCACTGGAGCTTTAGAGCTGCAGATCAAAGGATTCTGAGCTTACTGCACCATCTAGTGTCAATGTAGGGAAAGTGCAAGAAAATTATTAAACTATCTTTTCCTTACACCACATACTTCTTCCTTTAACAGATTAATAAAACACAATTTCATCACCCCCATAAGTTGCAAAGAACATTTGTCATCTTAACATATTAAGTGTCTCTTTCACAAAACTTCTCAAATGGTAGCATTTTCCCAAATGTTAGTACAGCCACATAACTGAAAACTTCCTTTAAAACTTCAATGCTTGACATTCAAGGTTGCTGAAGCTGTTGCAAATTTTATCTTTTCCACACTAATAAGTAGATCAACCTTTAACAGAAGTTTGCAACTTCCTAAAATTAAGCATTTTCTGTACACTCAACTCAGTTCTGGAAAATGCTATAGGAAGAAAAGTAGTAGAAAAGTGGAAAAGTAAGGTTCATGCAAGAAATCTGAAGTTACAAAAATAAAAATCACAGTGGAAAGAGGGTCTAGTTTTCAGTACAACTATTCTTGCTCATTATTATCTTCTGAAAGGAAGTAATCTGGCTAGTGTACACTAGATTTTAGGTACCTGAAAGATAACAGGACATGTCAATATCAGAAAAACTATTCACATTCCTAAACAGTATTTATCATAATCAGTATCTGAGTGTCTTAAAGAGATTTTCAGAATGGCTGAGGACCAGATTTCTGATTATTCAGCACACAAAAATAGTATAAGGTTATTAGAGAAATTTGTCTTTATAAAAAAAATTTCTGAAGCAACCAATAACAACAATTTCCACTAGGATATTTCTGGAGTACATCAAACCACATAATCCGGAATATGAAATTACAGCCAAGTTCTTTAACAATTTGTACACAGCAACTTGATATCAAATTTAAGATGCATCTGTTCTATGCAACACAGTACCACGTCAGGCATTTTGAATCACACATGTCTTCAAAAATGATGGGCTGTATCCTTCTATCCTGAGTGTTAGAAAGTCTTTCAAGAATCCCCAGAATGTTTTACTTGGAGATGTACACAGGGTTATAGACAGGCCCATGGTTTCTCTGCCTAAACTTCAACCATCCACAAAACTTGTAACTGTAACGAGCACAGACTCACATCAAGCTGTCAAGCTGGCTTACAGATGCACACCGAGGTGTTGGAGCACAGGCAGGGTGATGGTAGCAAACAGTCTACCTGTACTGACAGGGTATAACACTTGTGGCTTCTAGAGATGGCTGTGGGTACTGGTCAGTTGTGGGGGCTGGAAACAAGCACCCTGGAGGGTGGTTTTCTGATTACACGATCTTTGCAGATTTCTTTCCAAATTAACACAAAAGTATGGAAACAAGCAACTCTTTCCTCTGCCAAACACAAGTCACTTAGGAAAAGTGATGCGATTAAGATGGATATGTGGCTTGGCCTTGGGACAACACTTTGCTTCCAAAGCATCTTAACTAGATTATTTTTACGCTCAGACATTTTTCTTTTATGATACTATTTCAAACAAAAATATTGGGCAAATCATCCTGTCATCAGGGCATTTTGCAGCCACTACACACAAAAGATTGCCTCAAAAATTCTTTGAGAGGTACACCCTGGTGCTGCAGACCCTGCTGTGAAATTCAGGCAACGAAATGCAAAATCAGGCAGTGACTTAACCCCACGCAGCCAGACAGCCACCCCCTGCTCACACAACGTGTTTGCCGGGTGGGTGGCTGGGCACAGACTGTCCTAGTGACACACAGGAGGTGATGTGATCCCTCTCTTGGTACAAGCAAACTTATGACTTTCATTTGCACACATTTTCCCTTTGCACCACATGCGCTGACCTGTATTTTGAAAACTGGGTCAGAATGAGTCAACCTTTCCAGTGCAAACAGCTCTCAGTGGAGTTTCCCAGCAGCTTTATCCCACTGCAACTGTTGGTGTCTTCTCACTCCTAAGACTAGAGTTGACAGGCTGTATTTGGACCTCAGCATTTATTATATATCCTCAGAGCAGGAGTCCAGCAGTTCCACCTCTCAATGCAAGGCAATGAACTATTTAAATTGGAGGCACACTTAACCAGCAAATCTTTAAAAACCAGCATTTTACATTTCCCTAGGAAGGTATGCTATGGGTTGAGAGGCAGTATGCCTCAGAATTAGCCATTATTCAGTACAGCCATGTTTACACAATACTGCTGAGAAGAGAGCGGAAATCTTAATGATATCAGACTATAGGATGGAAAGTCTATAATTCAAGACAACAACCAATTCTGACTGGATTTTGGAGAGTTTGGAAAGCTATTTCTCAACTACATGGAAATCACTGTAACAAAAAGCCTCTGAAGAGGGATTTCGGTCAGTTCCCAGAAACAAAAGTGAATCCAAAGCAAGTATTTCAGATCGGAAGGGCCAGTGCCATGAGCTGTAGCAGGTTTACTCCAGCCTCCTGAGCTAATTCTCTATTGAAGGTTAAAAGACAGGACATAGACTGCAGAAGAAAGAAAGCAGGAACTTCAAAGCCATCTGAAGAGACAAATTACTAAATTTAGATCAAGTGGCAGGCATGAGACACTATTAAGTGGCAGACTTGAAACACTGTGAATCTGAAGGAAAGAAGGGAAAGGGACAAAGAAATTCTCAGGCGGAGGAGAGAACTTGCAGAAGACACTGATTTCCAACAGGAAATTCTATATAGCTTGTCTCCTCCCATCACTTCAGAAACCAACAGCAGAAAACAATTTTCTTCCTTCACAAGAGCAAATTAGACTAAGAGCTGTTTTAAGGCAACTGTAAATATCTGGGAATATCCTTCACCTGACTTCAGAGTAAGCTTTTCATCATCATTACTACATTATCAGTTTGGACCATCCAGCCCTACTTGAAAGGCTCCATCTGCAAAGAAAAATACCTGGTTTTGACTTTCATGAATAAGAAGCACCACTATAATCTTAATACTCAAGGAACCCTAGAGGAGCAGGGATATTTCCCTTCCAGGGAAGAAATTGCTTTGTCTGTGATTGTCCCCTGGGGTTACACAGAGGCCACTTGGAGGTAATCCCTTCCAAATAACTAAGTTGATCTACTTCAGCATAATAAGATATATCACTGCTTGATACTGCTGGCTTCTGCAGTAGAAGTTAGGTAAGCAACCCAGAAAGCTGCTAAAACATGAAAAGACAAATGATACACAAGCTACACACAGGAACAACAAGAGCAGAGGACAAAGATTAATTCACATGGCTATTCCATGAAGGCTCAAGGAACACCAGCTGCATTCACATCAATCTTTAATAATAAACATTTCCTTTCACTTGTAACTGCACTATAATCACTCTGCTAGGCAAGTGATGCCCATTTCACAGGCTTTGAGCACCAGAAGGAGCAAAGCCCATCTGCCTTGTTTGCTGCCTAGTTAATTGCTGGAATAAAACCATTATCCAGAACATCACCACCTCTAGTAAAAAATATTCTTCTTTTTCCCCCCTTCCCCTGCTAGTGGAAAATAAAACAGGAAAACCATTATGCTCATCACTCCATCTATGCTCCTTTCATTAGAGAACTTTTAGAAACGTCTTCAAACTATTGCAGTCTTATTAAAGAGCAAATGTAATTTTCAGGAATGGATTTCTTTTTGGTTAAAATACAGGTTCACCATGAAGATAAATATTTTTTTGCCCAGCAAGATACATCAGAGGACACCAGACACACATACAGAAAAACCTTGTATATCTTATAAATAGTTGCCTTAGTTAACAGAGAGATGTCTCTACATCACTCTGAATTGCAGCAAAACCCAGAGAAAACAGCAAGTGCTTGAGTAGTAAGGATCTGAATAGTGGCAAATGAGCTCCCTTTTCAGGCAGAACTTATGACTTTGATATAGCTTTTTGAGAGATGCAATAACTAGGATCCCATCAGATGATTACATTTACAGTATTTTTTTTTCAATTTCTGAACAAGGAGAATCAGGAAGAAAAGTGTGCCATTCCAAAATCACCATGATATTGAGACGATGAACCTGCATTATTCCTTTCTCATATGTACAGAAAAACAGGCTCATTTGACAGGAATGATTTTTGCTCAAGCAAAAAGCTCACTCAAAGCAAAAAGCTCCCATCTCAACAGAAAGCTTTGCCAACTAAATCATCACCTGTTACACTACAGCGAGCCTTAAAAACCCATCACATGACAATCAATCTGCATTGATACCTTTCGAAAACCAGCTTGTCTGTTTGTACAGCAAAATAAGTTTCCAAAGCATTTCATGCTATGTGTTTTCTTGTATTTGAGGACTAAAGCCACAGTGAATATCAATCCTACCTTCAAAGGAGAAATGTGCGACTGTAAGACATATCCATGGACATTCTCTATTTGAGACAAGTTCTTCTCTGACACATGAACAAGCTCTGGGCCTCTCACTTCGTGGGTTAATCGAGGCAAAGTATGATCATGTGGAGCGTCCTCATCTTGATAACGATATTTCTAGAGAAAAAAAAGATAGGAAGGAAGAACAAATAAGCTTTGAGGAGGCAATGCACATGTATGAATGTAAATATGGGATAACAGATAAAGTATCAGACATTGGATAATACAACCCTCAGATTTCCTAATCTGTTCTAAAGAGAATATATCATTATTTTTTTAACACTTCATCAAAGAGAGAAAATGTGGTATATCACACTGACACACAAAACTTTCACCATCAGATAGACATCTGAGATGAACTACTGTCAAGGGCTGGTACAGAAAAAAAAAGACACACTGATCACCTGAACTGTAGCATCAGCTCACATTTCACATCCCCACATGAATAACTGCCCTTCTATAGCCTTTCTCCACAAAATATTTGAGTCATTTTCCATTTAGCACCATGTACTTTGATGCTGGAGAGCACACATGCGCTTCCACAGAGCCACGAGCAGGCAGGCAGAAAATTACCCTCCAGTAAAGTTTTCTCCTTACCCTGAACACTAATTAGGGTGCGAGGCATTATAACTCTCTGCTCCGAGGAGAGGTGAGGTGAGGTAAGAAACAGGAGGTAAGCGCCTTGTCCGAGATCCAATACAAAGCTTGTGACAACCAAGAACATAACCCTAAAACCACAATGAAATTACCAGACCTGTCCTTCAGCTGTGTCTTGTAGAGGGGCCGTTGGAGCTGAGTGGAACCAGCTGGAACCGGCTGTGTCTGGCAGGGGCAGGCCTGACCTCTCCTCACAGAGGAGGCCTACAACCCCCCGGCTGCCAGCGCCTGGCCTTTTGTACCCAGCACACATACACAGAGGTGTTTTGAGGAGAAGACGACCAAACGAATTCACGTGGTGTCAGGCAGCGGTGGGGGATGTTGCGACATTACGGCAGGGAGCGGGAGGAGGAGAGCAGAGCGGGAATGGGAAGGGGGCTGCACGGGTCTGTGGCAGTAGGGGAGGCGCGGGTAGCGTCATTGTAAATGCCGTTTTCAGCGGACGGGGATATGCTAAAAATCAAAGCCTCAAGACAAAATCAAAGAGTAAGATGTATTTGGATGGCCGTATAAGAAAAATAAGAAGTCTTAAGTTCAGGTACTCTCACAAGGGCGTCGCGAAGCAGGCCTCCCTGCTGGCCCTCCATTTCACTTTGACGGCTCAGTTCTGGGGTGTTACTTCATTTTCTCATCCCTCCAAAGGAAATCATCCCAGTTTATTCCTGCCGTCACTCTCATGTATGGAAACGGTTCAGCAGTTGCCAGGTATTTTCAGAATACACACGTGACATGATTTATTCTCATCTTCTTTTCTGGGATATGCCTGCAACTCTTCACGTATTCACTTTTCAGATAACATGATTAATGAATCTATAAAATGACTGGCACCAGGCAAGTATTATTTGGGCAAGAAGCCATCAGTCTAAGAGATGGTACTCCAACCAATGGCACATTAAAGGCTTGGCACACAGATCATTTAAGCCCCAAGCAATCAATTATTTTTTGAATCCAGTGAGTACTCTTTCAAAAAAGACAACTACTCAGAGACACCCTCTTTAAAGCGAGTCACTTGCTAAAACGTGATTAGGAGAACTAACCGCAGAATACCAGAGTCATCCCATCTCCCCAGGAAATGGCAAAAATTAAAATGTCCAGCGACAGCTTTCCAAAGAGACAAGACAGCAGTGGCAGAAGCCATAACAAGCTTTGGCCAGATCATTCACGCAGCTTTACAGTTCAAGAAGCAGTGTAAGGTGGCATTAAAGAAAGAACATCTCTTTACATCCATCAGTAAGTCCTTTCCCCATCATCGCACTGCAGTGTAGCTGTTGCATAAATGAGAGCCAAGGCCCAGAGGAAAGTGGCTCACCCTGAGCCCTGTGCTCCCAAAAAGCAGGACACTTCCATGCATCTCCACTGGTAGACTTTCCCATGAAAACCTATGCTTTATAATTAAAATTCATCATTTTATCCAATAACCTCACACTCCCCTAAAAAATTCAATAATAGCCATGTTCATAAACTGTGAAGTTTACAGAACAGATTTCCACTTTTCCATTTGCCTTTATCTCCCTCCGACCCCAAGGCCTGCCTTCTCATTCTTCACAAAGTATGAGCCCAGAACATTTCTGGGTCAATCCTGTTATGCGTTTGGCTCATGTTCTTAGCACCAAACTCATTGATTTTCATACTTCTTTCCTCCCACAGCATCTCTTCACTGAAATGCTTTCAGCTGTGAACCAAAAGAGCTTGACACAGCAAAAAGCCAGTGGTAAGGCTGAAAATACCAAACCAGAATTGAGACTCTCCTGCAGAAATGCCTCATTCCTCTTCATCACTCTGTCCTGATGGGGTCCTGCAAACGTCCTTGAAATTACCCCATTCTGTAGAAACGAGAGTTTTCTCTAAGGGTTAATTTGAGTTTCTGGAGGGAAAAGTGTGATTGCACGGAAATGCTACTCTTCATTTGACAAAAGAACAGGTGGATGTCTTATGATAATTAAATTACAAATCAGTGCCTGCTGCTGACAGGGTATTGTACGCTGCCAACTAGCATCAGATATTTAAAATCCTCTGTAATTACCTATAATGGGGGAGTGGAGTGCGCTGCTGTGAATTTTTAATATGAACATGCGTTTCTGTAAGAGATCATTCTCTCTACAATGTGAGATTATTACAGCATCACTTCTCCTCTCGTTGTACTGTCTAAAGGAGCATTTTTAAGGCTGTTTGCCAAAGATTTGTCAGCTAAACAGGACTGAAGATATGAATCTAGTGGAAGGTAATGGTCAAAAGCCTTAAATATCAACAAAGCCAGCTTTCAAGAAAAAAAAAAGGTAAAAAAAGAGTGGGAAGTTACAATACAAGTTATAATAGCCACACTTCTGCATTGGCATGGAAATACAGATGTTCTTACAACCTACCTTTGACAGACTGTCAGTTAATTAAGATGGTTACAAATTTGCCATTTGATTTTGGGCCAGAGAGAACTGGCTTTTACAAAAGCCCTCAGTATTTTTTGTAGTTATCACTGGTTTGCTTTGCAGAAAATGCAAACAGAACTTTTAATTTTAGATCAACTCAAATTGACCTGTGCCCTGAGCTGCTGAATGCGGTCCTACTGGAGTTGCCACTCAAAAGCACATGTCCCTGTTCTTCCCTACGTGGCTCTTTGGCTGGACCACACACCGATACATCACAAATTACTTCTGCTTGCAATAGGTGGGCTGCGAAAGGAGGGAGCAAAGTGTTTCAAGTCTTGAATGCTATTCCTGTTTTACAGTCCTCCTCAGGAGGGGCCAGACTTCTGCACCTTAGAAGCTGCGGGTCTTCATATAACTCACATAACTTAGAGACCACAGGGAAAGGAATTTCTGCAGAAGATTTCCCACAAGAGAAAAAAACCTCTTACAGGTCCAGTTGTCCCATCGCAATCTGGGGATAGACAAGGTATGCCGTTGGGTCCTAATGCTACCTGCTCCTTATCCCTAGCTCACTTGCCTTTTCCCTCAACCCAGGATTTGAGCTACTTTGCAACTCCCATGCAGATTAGCCCCACTGCTAGTCATCTGCTGCAACCTTGACATGGGAGCTACCTTCGAACGGGTCGAACGTCACCTGCCTTCGGCACGATATTAGGTCCAGAATTCAATATGCTGGATTTGTTCACAGTTTTAGCGACAGGCAAAAACTAAAACCGTAATGGACTTGATCCATTTAGACAAAAGTTTAATCTGCAAAGTCCCATTAAAAAAATGTTAGTGCCACTTTTGTCTCACTTTTGTGCTCAGTTTTTTCAGTGGTCTTCAATGTATTGAATTTTACTGGCACTGCTCTCCAAAGGCAGCAAATTTCAATGTCATACAGATGAGTATCTTGAGAAAACAAACTTTACAATTTGCACACACAAGTCCTTGGGCATTCATCCAATCATGAGTAGGAATAATGTTACTCATCCAACTGATTGCAAATGAGCAACACAGCTTGAATTCTGAATATTTGCAATCAATCTATAGAGGAAAGAGAGAAAAAAATACTTTTCTCATTATATAAAATGGAAGAAATCACAATCTGCTTGCCAAGAGTGTGGAAGTAGATTAAGAAGCTTAAATCATTGAATAATTATACTTATTGTGAATGACTTGCTCTTTTGCTTATCAAGTAGATTTCTAACAAGTTTGTCACTGTATCACAGCAACACCTTCCATCTAAGAAGCCCAAAGAGCTTTACAAGTGGTAGTCAAGTCTGATAACATCCTGCTGAAAAAAAGTATGTGCATCATGTAAAGGTGTGTAAAATTAGGCACAGAAATACAACAACTTGCTCAAGGTCACAAAGAGAATCAATTAATTAAGCAGTGGTAGAACTCAGGAGATTTTTTCAGTCTGCTCCTCTAAGCCCAAGACCTAGTGCAACTAGACTGGCTTTAATAGTAATAATACTTATTAGTATTATTAAAAAATAAGATTGCAGGTTGGTTACTGCCGTTACAATTTATTTTTACTTTTTTTTGGTTGGTTGGTTCATTCTGGTTTTTTTTTTCCCCCCACAAAAGTTCCGGGAGACAGCAGACCTTCTAGGTCAGGATTTAGGTTTTTCTCTGCATTGATGTAATAGCAGCAGTGCTTTGTGTAATTTATATTCTGCTATCTCTGAGAACCACATAGTGTTTTTTAGAGGACAAGAGGTTTCCTGTAAGAACCAAATTCTTTCACAGAAGGGCCACTGTCAGCACTGAATACCGAGAACTTGCATAGCTCTTCCATTCAGTACAAGAAGTTTCTTTTTTTTTTTTTCAAGAGGGTAAAACCCCCAAATATATGATTTATTCTCTCAGTTTACTGAAATAAGCAGGTATTTGCCCATTGTAGGGAATATATGTCCAGGTTTTTTAAAAGTGCAAGTATAATGTAGTGGAAAAAATAAGCTTTACAGCATTCTCCTCATCTGTTTTTTTGCAACTCTAAATAGTTTTATTTTCCATGATGAACAACTGAAACGGACATTAGTCAAAGTACCT